AATTTGTGGGTTTTTAAACCACATGGAGACATACATTTATGAAGCATACACACAGAAATGTATTTATGAAGTATATACACACATATCCCAGTAATGTTCATTCAAAATGCCAAGAAGCAATGATGCTCCTATTACCAATGAGCCCAGCTAATGCCTGGATATTGATTTCAAAATACCATTTTCCACTAAAAGGAACTGGGACTCATTGAAGTAGCCAACTGCAGCACTAAGACAGGGAAGGTAAAGAAGATCTCAACTATCTTCAGCCAGAAAGTCAGGAAGTGTTCAAATGATGATAGGGGTATGTCAAAGGGCCACAAAAGATGGTGTGAAAGGGCTCCTACTGGTCAAACCTGGGAAAATTGAACACAAAATGAAAAGTAATAGTACAAAACCTATAGAATAAAATAAGAATCTCTAAGACCATACTGACATGAAAAAAACAAATAAGTACTAGAGCCATACAGACCTAATGCACAGTATAATGAATACAGACACCATAATTATAATTATGTGATGTAATATACATCACTACATCGCCAATCATTACAATATATAAATCTATCAAAGTAACTTGTTACACACCTTAAATTCACACAATGTTATGTATCAAATTCATTTATAATGAAGGAAGGAAGGAAGGAAGGGAGGGAGGAAGGAAGATGTGAAAAGAAAAAAAAATCCTTTGTAATAAAATTCCAGGTAATAACTGTCAAAGGAAGGACAGAATTAACAAATCTCCCATAAGGCAGCCAACACAGTAACAAAAAATTTTTGTAATGGATGATAAAATTATTGAGTGAAAAGAGATGAAGAACAGTCTATTTATATAGTCTCAATGATTCACTCTACAAATTAATTACGAAGAAAAACAGTAATTTTACTAGGAAGAAACTTGGCAAAAACCACCTTAATAAGTGATCAAACTTAGTATCACCAGGAACTGGATAAACTGACATCATGTGTCTCCTGATTTAATCAACTGACAAAAAGGTAACACTGTTTCAAACAGACATTCATATTGAAAGACAGTCTATGAAATACCCAACCTGAAATCGTCACAAATGCAAAGATCACCAAGGACAAAAAATGAGGAAATGTTCCAAATTAAAGGACTTTCTGAAGAGACATGCTAAATAAATTAGCCTGACACTGGTTTAGATCTTTACCAGAAAAAAAATTCTCTTATAAAGAACATTACTTCTGCAATAGGTGAAATTTTTAAAAGGTCTATGGATTAGAGAATCCATATTCTCTAATTTTTGTATTGTATGAATGTTAATTTCCTGATTTTGATTAACTGTGTTTAGGTAACAACATCCTCGTTCTTAGAAAATACACACTGAGTTTTCATAAAGAGGCATCTTGCCTGCAACCTACTCTCCAGTATTAAGAGGAAAAAGAAAAAACAACTACCCACGCCCTCAATATAATCAGAGAGATGATGAAGTAAATGTGAAATGATGTGAACTAGGGAGTCTGGATAATTCTGGTTATAAGGGAATTCTTTGTACTATTCTTGCAACTTAAATTATTTCAAAACAGAACTACTAAAATACTATAAACTTTAGAATATGAGTATATATCTTTATGATGTCAGGGTAACAAAGGATTTCTTTTTCTTTTCTTCTTTTTTTTGGGGAGATCTATCTATCTATTTATGTAAATAGATAGATATTTAAGATTTTGTTTATTTGAGAGAGAAAGAGAGCACTAGAGAGAGAGCGCACAAGCAGGGGGAGCAGCAGGTAGACGGACAAGCAGGGAGCCTGACATGGGGCTTGATCCCAGGACCCTGGGATCACAACCTGAGCCGAAGGCAGACTGCTTAACCAAGCCATCCAGTCGCCCCAGGAGATACATTTCTTTTTTACCAGCATTTTACTGATGTAGAAACTGGGATACACAGAGGTTCCACAACTTGCTCAAAGTCACACAGCTAGTTAAAGGATAAAGTTACAGTTCACTAATTTGTTTCTACTGAACAATGAAAATAATGACAAAGAAAAAAAAGTTGGTTTTCGTCACTGATTCATTCATTCAGTCTTGAGTTGAGTTCATCGATTCAGTTCCAAACACAGTTTTTAAGGCTACTAAAAGCAGGCCTAGGTCCTTTGGGGGTAAAAAAACACATTTTTTTTCCAGGTCACCTGCAGAAGTGGGTTCCTTGATAATTAGTAACAGCTTCCCAATCTCTATCAAGCCGTGGTACTAGACTCTGGCTTCTAAACTGAAGAATACACTTTCCTTGGCTTTGTAGCTCAATGGCCTATGCTAACAGCTAATGATTTTGTTTAATGGATAGACCTTTCTCTGAATTCAGCAGTAATATGGCATATTAGATAACAGGCAGGTGTCTATCTATCCTTTTATAACCTTTCTTGGTCCTAACATATTAACTTCAATTTTTTAAAAAATTTATTTTTTTAAATTAACATGTAATGTATTATGGGTTTCAGAGGTAGAGATCAGTGATTCATCAGTCTTATATATATAACACTCAGTGCTCATTATAGCACATGCCCTCCTTAATGGCCATCAGCCAGTTACCCCATCCCCATCCCCCAGCAACCCTCACTTTGTTTCCTATAATCAAGAGTTCCTTATGGTTAGTAACAAAGGATTTCTTAAACAAGACATAAAAAACACAAATATAAAGAACATGGCAAATAATAAATCTGACTAAATAAAAATACCATGACAAGAATAAACCAATAAGCCAAAAATGGAAGAAACTATTTGTAACACATAAAACCAAGAAAGGACTAGTAGGTATGATATATATTTTAAAATTCCCACAAAAAGAAAACAAGAAAAAAACAAGAAGCCAAACACACACACAAGATGGCAACAAAGTTAAAGAGTAAGGGACAATGGCCAATAAATAAAAATACATTCAACCTCAAGGGTCATCAGGAAAATCTCACAGCAGCATTGTCCGTAATAGCCTCAAGCTAAAACAACCCAAACATCTATCAACAGAGGAATGGATAAACAAACGGCAGTATATTCATACAATGGGTATCTATACACTTGATACTGAGAATGAATAAGCAACAGCCACATATATACATATATAAATATGGATGAATCACAAGTCACAAAAGAAGATGAAGAGCATGATATCATTTACATAAAATTCTAAATAAAGGATGAAAAAAATGTTTAAATTAGCACTTAGGGCTGCATAACGGGTGGTAAGAAAAACACACACAAGGGAAAAGCAGAAAAGCAAAAGAATGATTACCGTCAAATTTGAGACTGATCTTGCAGCAGGGAGGGAGAGAACATAATCAACGAGAGGGCTACAAAGAATGTTTCTTCAGGCTGTATAAATCTATTATTCCTTAGCCTGGGTGATAACTACATGGGTGTTAAGAAATATATTTGCATATTTTAGAAGCTCTTCTAATGGTATAATGTATGTCACTAAAAACAGAGTAATTATGACTTAACCTAGGAACTGTAAAGTACCTTTAAGGAAAAAAAGAACAGAAAGTGAAGCAGGAAGCACTCAGGAGACTGGTACTGCAGAAGCCAAGAGGAAAAAAACAAGGGAACAGTGAACTGCATCAAATATTAGTGAGAAGCAGGGTAAACCTTCACATAATACTAAAAAAAAAATTATTATTCTCTGTTGATGAATCAGTTATCTTAAGATGGAGACATTACTTTGCATTGAGATTTATTGAAACAATGAAAAAGGATGTTAATATTCTGATATTGTATATTCAGAAACCAAAATTCTTGATCCTATTTTTAAAATGTCCTCCTCCCAGAATGCAGGATATTAATTACATCAACAGTATATACTCAGTTACTAGAGTAAGTGCAATTCTGCATTTGATAGCCAAGTTTTGGTAAACTTTAATTACAGCCTCAATTATGTATTGCTGGAACTGTGATTACAAAGACCTTTGGGCTCTACCAAACTGGATATGCTGAGTAGAGGCTGGTAACCAATATTATAACACAAAAATCTGGTTAGACCAAGACAAAAGTTTTAACAATGTAGGAACATGAACAACAATTCACTTGGCTTTTCCAGTTATAAAGAACAAAAGGCTTTTACTTGGAAATAAAGTTACAAACTACTTTCCAGAAAATGCTGGGCACTTGGCTAAGGATTCATTTTTCTCACCTGTAAAATAAAGATGGACTAAATACCACTTAAGGGCTCAATAAGCAGTATTTCATGTTGTCATCTGAGAAAGGGAAACCAATCACAATGGGAAATAAAATTTAATACTGATCTAGATATTAAACCACACTTCTGAGGGCTGCAAAACCAAAAAGTATCACACATTAACCTAATGATATAACTGGGCCATTCACTGCTCCTTCCTTTTTTGTTTTAAAACTATAAATCTATTGATAACTAATTTTAAATAAGTACAAAAAGCTCTTCAAAGCAGTATCTGCAGAGACAATTCAGAAGGCTGTATTTTTGTTAATGAAAAAATGCAACTTCACACAAATTAAAGATAAAAACAGGAGTTCTGATATTTAAAAAAACCAAACAAAGTAAGATAAATTCTCTTCTCAAAGAAGAGGATTTCTATGGGATTATGCCACTTACATAAAGGGCACTAATTTAGGCCCTAGTTTTAAAATACCACTACTTCAGAAGAGAGAAGCATTTCTTTCAAGAGCACTTATATCAATATTCTATGGCTATAAATCAACACATTCAAAGCCATGTTAATATGTAACACTATTAATTTGAAGGAAATGGTTGTATGGCTTATAAAAGAATGTGTAAGATTAATGTTAGAAAATAAGTTTTTAACTCAATTTTAGATAATCCATTTGTTTTTGCCAACTAACAGAATCTACTAATATTAAGATTTAATCAGTGAACACATTTTATTCCAAGATTCTTTTCTTTCCTTTAGAAATCCTGAGAGAATCCAAGAAGAAAAAGGGTGATACACATGGATTAATAAATAAACTTATAATTTCAGAAAACTTGCTTTGTGACTCAAAATGGAACTACTCACCAAAAGCAGCGGCCATAGGGGGTTCAAGGGATGGCTGGCCATCACCAGTAGGAAGGTCTAAACGAGTGAAGTCTCTGCTTTTGTCATTATTATATTTCACATTAAGGCTGGTGAGCTTGGAGAAGTCAATACGCAGAGTGCAGCATGCATTATAGATATTCTGGCCATCCAGAGCCTAAAGCATGTAAGAAAGGGACTGATGTTTTGCAAGACAACAACACTGATAAATCAAGTAGCTTCTACTTTGACAGAGAGTGGCAATCAAGTATAAAGCAGAGAGAAATGGACTAATAGCCAAAGACCTGTGTTTACTTGTACCTCTGTCACTCACTATGTGAACATAAGAGAGAAAAAGAAAATCTCAGTTTTTCACAATGTTATAATAATCCCTATCTTATCTGTGGTAAGATCAAATGAAAGAAGAGAAATGTAAAAGCTTGGAAAAATATTATACATTATTGAGCATCGTACTAGCTATCATTTTAATTATTTTGTCCCAACAAATGTTTAAGAATGATTTGATTTTATATTTCATCTTAACTTTTTAGTATACTTTATGTAGGTTAAGATGAAATAAAGCCTTTGTAAATGGAACTTGTAAAAACCACAACATATGAAGTATCTATCTCTTTTTTTTCTCTTGTAAATTTATTTTATAATAGTCTGAATAACAATTTGAGGGAAATTTTGCAGTCAGTTCTCATATAAGACCAGAGATCAGCAAAGCCTCCCTTCACAACAACAAAAACTTATCAAAGGGATATTTGTAGTCACTTGACTTCCACAAATGCTAAGATTTATAAAAACAGAAATCAGAAACCAAAATACATAAGAAAATGCAAATATACAAAAATATTTATAATAAGTTACTGATGAGTACATTATCATAATGGTATAAAATAATATATACAAAGGGTACAGCAAATATAAAGTCTATACTCCTAATCAAAAGGCAGACAGTATACAAAAAACTACTAGAAGCCTTAGTCCCTATCTTTGAAAAGAAATTAGAAATAATTCAGATACTGATACCAGAGAGAATTAGGGTTAGGAACAGATCTCAGTAAGACATCGGTGAAATATAACCAAACTGAACATGAAATCTTACATCTTGTCAAAACCCAAGCACACACACACACAAACACAAAAGGAAGAAAAAGGGGGCAATATAAACCAACAGCAGCAAACTTCCTAAAATGTAGTATCTTCACCAATTCAGAGCTCAACAAAATTCAATAGCAAATAAGGTTACAAAAACGGTATCAACCAATATGGCTAATTTAATAGAAGAAAATGAAGACACAAGGACAAAGATAATTCTACTTTACTAGTCAGATTTTATTAGGAATACTGTGCTCCACTCTAGACTTTATATATGACAGAAATGAGTCCCAAAGATCTGAGAAGTGATAAATGATTTGAAACCATTTCATATGAAGGAAGTTAATTTTTACTTATTATTTTAAAAAGCATATGGAACAGTGCCTTTAAAAACAAAATTTTATATTATGTATATACTATAAAAACATATTGTGAACTACAATAAGGGAAAAGACATGAGGGCATTCTTTGCTATCACTGAAGTGACTGATAAATGAAAAATAAAGAAAGATCATAATTACCATTTTGGCATAATGTGCATTCACTGGGTCAGCATATTGAAGCAAGGCTTGAAACTGATTATTCTTTGTAAAGGTGATAATCTTCAAGACTGTGCCAAATTTGGAAAATATCTGGAAAAAGTTCACATTAGCAAGGAACAAATTAGGCTAATGTACCTTTATAAATATAACTTGATTCATGAATTCCATTTTTATTTATTCTTTTTTTATAAATATTTATTTATTTGACAGCGAGACACACAGCGAGAGAAGGAACACAAGCAGAAGGAGTGGGAGAGGGAAAAGCAGGGAGCCCAATGTGGGGCTTGATCCCAGGACCCCGGGATCATGACCTGAGCTAACGGCAGAAGCTGAACGACTGAGCCACCCAGGTGCCCCATGAACTCCTTTTTTAAATGAAAATAATTTCCTCTATTAAAACTGTTGGTACTGGGACACCTGGGTGGCTCAGTTGGTGAAGTGTCTGCCTTTGGCCCAGGTCATGATCCCAGGGTTCTGGGATCAAATCCCACATTGGGCTCCTTGCTTGGCGGGGAGCCTGGTTCTCCCTCTGCCTCTGCTGCCACTCCCCCTGCATGCACTTGCATGCGCGCTCTCTCTCTCTCTGACAAATAAAATCTTAAAAACAAAACAAACAAACAAAACTGTTGATACAAAAATGACTTATACCCATGCATGGCTTAAAACAGTGCCTGACACAGTGCATGACAACAGGCACTCAAGTATTTCACCTATTTTACAGTATGTCATAACTGGCACAATACTGACAACATGACTCTACAATAGGAATTAATCAGTGTTATGAGATAATGGTGTTACAAAGCATATGAATGAAACCGGAAGAGTCCTGTGGATCAGCTATTTCACCATGAGAATCAGCATCTATTTCTTGAGATTTTTATAGGCAGAGAAACTACAAAATGTTCCTCTAGAGGCTGCTCCATTAATTCATTCAATATTCACAGAGCGCTGTTCTACACCCTGGGAAATCACCAGTGAATGACAAGAGCCTCTGCCTTGAGGAAGGATAGACCATAAATAAACAACATGATGTCTCATCATAAAAAAGTGTTATGAATAAAAATGAAATGAAAAAGGATGAGAAATATCAAGTGCTGGGGAGGATGTGGAGAAAACAGAACTCCTGTGCACTGTTGGTGGGAATGTAAAATGGTGTAGCTGCTATGGAAAATAGTATGGTGGTTCTTTGAAGAAATAAAAAATACAATTACCATATGATCCAACAATTCCATTTCTGAGTATAAACCCAAAAGAAGTGAAAGCAGGGATTCAAAGAGCTATTTGTATACCCATGTTCAACAGCCTTATTTGCAAAAGATGGAAGCAACCTAAATATCCACCCACAAAAATGTGGTAAATATATGCAATGGAGTATTACTCAGCCTTTAAAAGAAAGGACATTCTGACACATGCTACAACATGGATGAACCTTGAAGACATTTAAGTGAAATATGCCAGTCACAAAATGAAAAATTATGCATGACTCCACTTATATGAGTAACCTAGAATAGTCAAATTCACAGAGACAGCAAGTAGAATCTTAGTTACCAGTAGCTGAGAGAAAGGGGAAATGAGGAATTATTGTTTAATGGGTTTCAGCTTAGGAAGATAAAAAAAATTTTGTAGATACAAGATGTTTGGTGATAACTGAAAAACAATGTGAGCGTACTTAATGTTACTGAACTACACAATTAAAAGAGGTTAAAATAGTAAAACGTATATATATTTTAAACCCCTCAAAATAAACCATCTTAAAGTCCAAATACTAATTTTTGGCAAAAATATTCTTTAACATATTATCAGCTCAGAGTCAGACACTTCTTAGAGGAGATAGTACTATTTACCAAGATTTGTGGAAACAATTTGTCCTAGAAGAGCTAACCAAAAAATGTTATTATTTAAAATCAGATGTCTGAGGGTTCTTTATTTAATGTCTTTAAAAATGCAGATAATTTAATTATGCTCATATTTAGAACTCCAGGATCTTAATCTCTCATTCAACTATTTTGAAAAACATAAGTAATTTGCTTTTGTATTTTTTAAAAAAGATTTTATTTATTCATTTGACAGAGAGCGACACAGCAAGAGAGGGAATACAAGCTGAGGGAGTGGGAGAGGGAGAAGCACGCTTCCCGCAAAGCCATGTAAAAATACAAAAACAAGGCACCCCTTGTTTTTGTATTTTTAATGGTCCTGTAACAGGCATTTCTTCAGTATACTTGTGTGTCCTAGATAACAGTCTTAGAATTTATAAAAGAATACCAAACTGCTATTATCAAATACTATCTCTGAGTGTCCCTAATAGCCAAATGGCCCTCCCTTTTTAACTGGGAGGCCTGCGTGGCTCAGTCAGTTAAGTGTCTACCTTCAGTTCATGTCATGATCTTGGGGCGCTGCTCAAGCCCTGTGGCAGGCACCCTGCTCAGCGGGGAGTCTGCTTCCCCCGTCTCCTACCCCAACTCATGGTGTCTCTCTCTCAAATAAATAAATTTTTTTTTAAAGGACCAAATTTGCCTTCTTCTCACATGACTATCAAAGAATATAGATTTTATGTTGTATCTTTCTTTAAGATATAAGCATTCTTGGGAAAAGGTCTTGTATTTTCCTTATTTCCGCCTTTGGTGATACTATGGTCACACACATACAACCCCCAATCTAAATATTACGAGTGCATCAACTGAGTGTTGGCTAAAGGAGTAGCAACAGATTTTTTTACTGCAGCCACAGGTACTATTCTAAAGTACAAGATTATATCATATATAATTTTGCCCTGGTGTACCTCTCTAACCACATTTCCTGGTACTTTTTATACCATACTATTTACACCAACAATGTGCAGTTGTCTATAGTTCTCTAAATATACAAAGTGGTTTCAGACTTCTAAGCCTACACGTGTGGGTATTCCCTTTTCTTAGAACTCTGTGCCGAAACCAATATATTTTCGTTTATCTTTTCCAAAACTCAGCTCAGGAAGTAATGACACCAGAAAATTCTCTGCCTCTCCCAAATATAAACAGAGTTCATTCTCTTTCCAGAGTATTACTCCCTTCTTGGTCTCGAATATAAGTATTTATTTTGTTTTACTTATATTGTACTATACATTTGTCTACTTATCTGCCTCCTTTAATTAGACTGAGAGCTTCTTGAAGGTATATACTTTGTCTTAATCATTTCTATATCACTGAGTGTAATTCTTAACATATAAATAGGTACACAGTAAATGCCTTTTATTAACTGATAAAGAAGTATACTCAGACCTGATTGGAGAATTATAGTAACACAGTTTTGTTTTTTTTTTTTAAGATTTTATTTATGTATTTGACAGACAGAGATCACAAGTAGGCAGAGAGGCAGGCAGAGAGAGAGGAAGAAGCAGGCTCCCGGCCAAGCAGAGAGCCCGATGTGGGGCTCGATCCCAGGATCCCGGGATCATGACCCGAGCTGAAAGCAGAGGCTTTAACCCACTGAGCCACTCAGGTGCCCCAGCACACAATTTTTTAAAAACAAAAACACGCCTGGGTGGCCCAGTGTTAAGCGTCTGCCTTTGGCTCAGGTCATGATCCCAGGACCCTGGGATCGAGTCCCACATCAGGCTCCTTGCTCAGTGGGGAGCCTGCTTCTCCCTCAGCCTGTCACTTCCCCTGCTTGTGCGCTGTCTCTCTGACAAATAAATAAAATCTAAAAAAAAATTTTTTTTAAATAAACATTTTTGATGTAAAATATTAATGAAATAGCAAGAACATATAATTTGTTCTCAAATTTGGAATAATTTTACACAAAATTATGCACAGAACTTAGTTAATTTTAACTTAACTTTCAGATTTCCTTAATGTTTATATTCTTTCTCTCATTTAACTTGAACACCAAGTACAATGTACATCCTGACTGTTGTTGGGCTGTGTGATTTTTAACGAATGTGCTAACAGAATATAAATGGACTGAACTAGGGGTGTCTGGGCAGCTCAGTCATTAAGTGTCTGCCTTTGGCTCAGGTTGGTCCTGGAATGGAGCCCCACATCAGGGTCCCTGCTCAGTGGGAAGCCTGCTTCTCCCTCTTCCACTCCCCCTGCTTGTGTTCCCTCTCTTGCTGTCTCTCTGTCATATAAATAAACAAAATCTTTTAAAAAATTAATAAATAAAAAATAAATGGACCGAACTGGCTAATCATGGGGAGTTATCCAGAGTCCCCTCGACTGTATTTGTTGAGAGAGGAACTACAAAGATCATTCTGATACTTCTGAACAAAGTAAGTGAGGACCAACATCAGGGAATCCAGGCTAATGCCTCAAGTGTGATTTTTAACATCTTTTCATAATTACCAAAATACTAATTTTAAAACAATTTGGTCTCATAAGATTATCATTTGGGGGGGGCGCCTGGGTGGCTCAGTGGGTTAGGCCGCTGCCTTCGGCTCGGGTCATGATCTCGGGGTCCTGGGATCGAGTCCCGCGTCGGGCTCTTAGCTCAGCAGAGAGCCTGCTTCCCTTCCTCTCTCTCTGCCTGCCTCTCTGCCTACTTGTGATCTCTGTCAAATAAATAAATAAAACCTTAAAAAAAAAAAAAAAGATTATCATTTGGGAAAGTTTAATATGTACAGATTTATTAATATTGATTACAATAATAATTTGACTCTGTGACTCTATTTCCCTAATATACTTATTTTGCTGTCATAAACGCACAGACTCAACTCTTGATGTTTCCTGTGCATTTTAATCTTTTCAGACTTTAAAAATGGGATAAAGAGAATACTAAGATCAAAGTCAGGTAAAATTAATCTTCATCATGATTTTTATAAAAGTAGCACTTACTAGAGACTGAAAAAGTTCATTTGTACTCACTTGTAAAAAGTGTATTGGCCATAATTTGTTTACAACAGTTTTTGTACCCAACAAAACGGTAAGACTTAAGAACCAGAATTTTATTATTTAAAAAAATTTTTTTTTTAATTTATTTGAGAGAGAGTGAGCAAGCACAAGCAGATAGAGAGGCAGAGGGAGAAGCAGACTCCCTGCTGAGCAAGTCCTAATGTAGGACTTGATCTTAGGACTCCAAGATCATGACCCGAGCCCAAGGCAGATGCTTAACCAACTGAACCATTCACTGTGCCTCAAGAACAAGAATTTTACATTACTAGCACTGATTCTTTCAATATCGAAATAATTGCTTTTTCCAAGTTATTTTTCTTTGTTCTGCAATTCAAAACGATCAGTCCTTTATCCCAAAGACATTCATCTAATGGACATTCATAAAAGTCCCCCATAAATAACAGTACTTGGAAGTAATGGATTATATGAGAACATTGTCTGAACTTTTTCAGCGCACAAAGGAATTTTTTAGTATGCAGGCTGAATTTACATTATGGATCAGTCGATAAATGTCCTCTTTATCTATAAATACTCTATGTGACGCCATCTAATCCAATGGTTTTAATTACCGCCCATACGCTGATGATAACCACATCTCCAGCCCTGAATTCTTACACCCAATCCAGACTTATTTACGAACTGTCTATTCAACATCTACCACTTGCATGCCTAATAGGAAGCTTAACATCTCCAAACCACTACCTCCCACCCTTGCCCCAAATCTTTTTGCCCCTTCACTCAGTCTTCACTATCTTAGTACAAGATTGCTGTATTTAGCAGAGGCTCATACCCAAAGTCTCAAAGGCATTCCTGATTACTTCTCTTTTTCTTCATAATCCACATCTACTCAAACCATCTGCAAATCCTTCCAAATACATCCATTATCATCACTGCCTGTGACAACATCCTCACGTGGGTCTCACCATCTCTCATCTGGACTATGCCAAGATCGTCCACTTACACCTATATGTTTATTCTTAACATAGCAACAAGAGTGATTTCACTGCAACATAAATCTATCATTTTACTACTGTACTCAAAATCTTCTAATAGCTTCCCATCAGCTGGATCCCAAATCTTCTGAGACTCTATCATTTATGGCCTTCCTACTTCTTACACTACAAAACATAGTCTCATTTCTGATATTTCAACGCATTAAAGCACACTTCCACTTTAGAGACTCTGCACTTCCTGTTCTGACTAGATTATGCTACCACATGTACACATAACTTATATCCTCACATACTTCAAGCCTCTGCTCAAATGTCATATTGAAAAGCTCCCTTAGCTTTCCTCATCTGAAATAGCACTGCTCTCATCTCAGCCACTCAATCCCCTCACCATGAGCTAAAGAAAAAACACTAGCTTCAATGGATGTTAGAGAACAGTTAAGCTAATGGCAACTCTTCAGCAAAAAGTATTAAATAATCTGCTAATTAATTATAACAGAAGCAACAAAATCCACACTTCCATGTACTCCTTCATCACAATATTCATCACATTTTATGCTATTACTTACGAAATTATATCTTAATAGATAAGACAATAAGAGCAAGGATTAGTTTATTAGTAGCATTTTAGTGATGCAATTTAGTAATGCAATCAAATGCAATTTACTAGCATCTGATAATTACAGCTAACATTTCTTGAGCACTTAATATGTACCTTTCAAATATATACCTTAATATGTACACTTCTCTAGGGGCTTTAAATGCATAGAAATAATAAAAAGATACAAAGAGGGTAAGTTACTTGCTCATCGTTATAGAGACAGTAAATGACAAAGCCAAGATTCAAACCAGCTCCAGACCTTGTATCCTTAATCATTATGCTATTCTACACTTTCGTTGGCTAATGATACAAAGTGCTGGAGGAGAGGGCTTAACATAATTAGAGAAAGAATGAAGAGGTAAATTTGACCTGAAAATTGAATGACGTAGATTCAACAAAGTCACTAACTCAGGGAAGAGTGCTCCAGGCCTAAGAAATAGAAATGGACTAAGACAGCAATTAACTGGGGGGAGGGGAAACAGTAAAAGGGCCAGAAAAGCTGGGGGCTAAATAAGCAAAATATTAGGGAAAGAGGTTAAAGAGATGGGGAGAGGTCTGCATATGGGAACCTGAAGGGCCTTAGTAAGGACTTTGGTTTTATTCCACCAGCAGTGGGAATGGAGTGCAGTTAGCTGAAAGGCTGAGAGTCTTACCCCAATGGTTACTACTTAGACTCTCAGAATCACTCCTCTTCACCCTGAAGGACACTGTGATCTTTTGGGAGAGAAACAAGGTTTGTTACTGCTCCCAGTGAAACGATAACTGGAATGATGGGACAGGACCACATGACGGTAGCTAAGTTCAAGGCTGTTTGATGGCAATGTTGACCACAGGGACAAAAACACCTTTTGTAAGTTAGATAGCAATAGTTTCAATGTTACAGTTACAAAAGCAAACGCTGCTGATGGATCATAGAATGTTCAGTAACACTCTGGGGTAACAAGAGAAGAAAATCTACCAGAACCAAGAAGCCAATCACCTAAGCAACTGTTGAACCCTGTTAAGGAATGAGGGTGGCTATAGATAGCACTGTTAGAGCCCTCCCTAAGATAAATTTCACAAATGCATTTATTTAGAAAATGGCTTGCAAAAAGCTATCATAGGGAACACAGTAGGCCTAATAAATGGTATATTTTGATATTTACATGCATGGCACAGGAACTATATCTGAGCTTTATTGCCAATTAGTACAAAGACTGTGGGAGAGTAACAACTTTTAAACACCCCAGTTTCCTTATCGATAAAATGTGAGACTAGGATGGAATGCAATTCTTAACTACACATGCACATATATACCCCTATGATTCTTCACTTAGTAATGTAAATCCAAAGGTCTGAAAAACAATTAAATGATTCTGGACTGACTTGGTATCATGCTATGCAATATATATTGAGATATAAATAAGAAATAAGCATGTTTTAGTGTTTTAACATTTTGATATATGGGCTGACAGGTATAATGAAATGGAATCAATATGCAGCAAAAGAGGACAAAAACTAACTGAAGGTTTTGGGCTAGATGCAAATGTTCATGCATACAGGTTACCAAGTAACTGTACATTTTGAGGATATGTGTATATATGGAGCATCAGTTAAAAATATAATAAGCACTCAAATCAGGAGGCTTGAGTTCTAACTGGCTTTTCAATTACTCTCTACAATATTTAATTAATCAATTACTGGAGTCTGTTTTATCCACTATAAAATTATGTAACTAAGTGAGTTTCCAGTTCTTAAATTCAATATATTCATAGTAGGCCATGATCTGGTGGAGTGTCTTTTATCACAACAGTTTAGAAATATTAATGAGTAGCCTATGAAAACTATGTTGGTTATCAGTCAGTATTTAATATGATACTTCTATTTTACATATGCAGAATTATCACACAACTTTCTTTCAGAGTTTTTAAAATGAAAATACTCATATGAAAGGAGTCAAAAGAAATAAGTTAGTTGTTTTCTATATTGATTTAACTTTCTAGGAATAATTATTACTAGCGGTTTTTACAGGATTTTATAATTTGTTCATTTTCATGCTTAGGTAATAAGAATTTCTTATATATCCCTTTAAATCAAGTATTTTAGTTAGAAAAAGAAAGCTATCAAAAAGTTATCTCTAGGGTGCCTGGGAGGCTCAGTTAGTTAAGCATCTGCCTTTGGCTAGGTCATGATCTCAGGGTCTTAGAATCGAGTCCCACATCACACTCTTTGCTCAGTAGGGAGTCTGCTTCTCCCTCTCCCTCTGCCACTCCCCCTGCTTGTGTTCTCTGACAAATAAACAAATAAAGTCCTTAAAAAATTTTATCTCTAATTGATACTATTTCTTACCTGAAACAGGATGTTGAAGGCTTTTTAAAAAATTATTATTATTTAAACAAATATACCAACCAAAATCAACAACCAAAAAACTCTAAAGATAATAAAACATCAAGGGTTTGGAGGTCACATGTGTCTCTTAAGAGTATTATTCCACTTTACCTGATGAAGAACTTCCAGAGTAACAGGGTAAAAGAGGTTTTCAATAATTATTCGGAGCACAGGGCTCTGCCCAGGTAGGATTGTGCCTTCATTGGTAGGAGCTCCAGGAAGGGCCAGACTTCCCGACTGGACAGCACTGACAGCCTGCAATGCAGCTTGGGCTCTCTATAAAATGATCCAAAATGAGAACTTTTAGTTACACTGAAGCACTACATGAATCCTAAAAATCAGTTGGTGTAGAGTACTATGAAGTAATATAGTTAAATAAAAATATACATATCTACTTTCTCTAGATGCACATATTCTAAATCTGTAATCAGTTAAGATTCAAAGTCTTGCTTTCATGTAACAATGACACAATATTTAAGAAAGGTGCTTAAATTTACTTGAATGAAAAAAAAAAAACACATGGCGAAGAGGAAAATTTGGATGTGGATTTTTATCTCCTAATTTTTTCAAAGAGCGTGTGTGCGAACGGGGGTAGGGTGTGGGCGGAGGGAGAGAAGAGAATCCCAAGCAGACTCCACGCTGAGTGCAAGCTGACGTGGTGCTCGATCCCACTACCCACAAGATCAGGAACAGAGCCAAAACTGAGAGTTGAACTGAGCCACCCAGGAGCCCTTTTATTTCCTAATTTTGAAATGACAGTAAGAAAAAAAATGTGAAAGTAACATTAAAGATGACTTAGAAACCACTCAAGTACCTCTTCCTTTTCTCTCCCTAAACAATTGAGTTCTAAAACCTTTGGGTGGCACCTGCTAGATGCAAATATGGAAGAGAGAAGCTACAGTGGTTCAGAGGGGGTTAGGAATGCATCCCTATAGGAAGGCATCCTGGCATGAGCATCACGTGAGCCCAAGCAATGTCAGGAGAACATCTGTGTGGTCAGGCTGCCTGGCAAGGGGAACATGAGCCCAAATAAGATATGAACCTTCTATGTGTGGGGGTGGCTCAATGCTAGACATAAGAACCTGAGGAACAGAAGAAGGGTACAAAGGACTGTCAGAGCCCAAGGACAGTCAGGAAAGGGTCCACACAGTGTGGACTAATATAGTGTAGATAGTCTGAGCAAAGTGAAGACCAGGTCCATGAGGGCCTGAATGGGGCAAGGAAGGAATTCAATGGTGGGGCAGCCTGGCATGAGATGTAAGAGCACAAGCAGGGTCAGGCAGACAAGCTTCTTCTCTTTTTTAGTAAGACGACAATATTTATTTATAATTAAACATTTATGGAACACTATGTGCAGGCATCATTCTAAGCACTCACTACACAAATATCTCTAATTCTCACAACAACTTATGAGGTGTGTACTATTTTTTTTAAGATTTATTTATTTGAGAGAGAGAGAAAGCAGGAGCAGGAGGAAGGGCAGGGAGAAAGGGAGAAGCAGACTCCCCGCTGAGCAGAGAGCCTGATGCGGGGCTTGATCCCAGGACTCTGCTATCATGACCTGAGCCGAAGGCAGATGGTTAACGGACTGAGGCACCCCTTTTTTTATACTTTTAACAGCATCTTTAGGCCCTACATACTCTTATGTATCAGGTAATGTACAAAGTGCCCAACATCCAGTTTCCAAAGAATCATCATCTTTGAGAACAGCATATAAATAATTACTTGAAAATTTTATACCATTGGTTTTTGAAACTATGCTCTTTAAAAAACAGCCATGCCCATGGAAAACCGAGCATCCTAACCCTGCTTCAAACACAGCAGTTCGTCTCATCTATTTTATACTAGGCTCCTCCGTATGAGTTTATTTAGAAAAAGGGTTCTACTGCCTTCAAATTTGAAAACTGATTCAGACCTCAACTTTGAGCCTATCATTAGATGAGGGTGAGGTGGGGGTCAATTAAAAAATAAAAAGACCCAGAAATGACACAGAAGTTAGAATTAGGAGACAAGAACATAAAAGTAGTATTTATAACTGTCTGTCCTCTCTCCCTCACACATATACACACAAAAGTAAGCACAGACATGGAAGATAAACTCCAACAGAGTTTCCTGGGATGATGGAAATGTTCAATATCTACACTGTCCAATATGATAGTGACTAGCCACATGTGGCTAGTGAGCACTTGAAAAGTGCCAAGTGCAATTGATGTACTAAATTTTTTCTTCTTTTCTTAAAGTTTACTTGTTTTTAGTAATCTCTATGCCCTATATGGACTTGAACTCACAACACTGAGATCACGTGTCACACACTCTTCCGACTAAGCCGGTCAGGCATCCTAGGTTTTTCATTTTTAAATGTATTTAAATTTAGCCACACATAGCTGGCAACTACCATACTGAACACAACTCTGGAAAGTCTAGAGGAAGATGTCATCATAGAGAGGATCTAAGTGGAATAAAGGCTTCTTCTCTTAGATGAAGGTGATTAAATCTTTATAAAAGTAAGCCTGCATAACCAAAAGTAAACTTTACCTCGCTGACTTCACTTCATTATGTCATCGATCATTCTACCTATCCTTTTTTTTTTTAAGATTTTATTTATTTATTTGACAGAGAGAGATCACAAATAGGCAGAGAGGCAGGCAGAGAGAGAGAGAGAGAGGAGGAAGCAGGCTCCCCGCCAAGCAGAGAGCCTGACGTGGGACTCGATCCCAGGACCCTGAGATCATGACCTAAGCCAAAGGCAGAGGCTTAACCCACTGAGCCACCCAGGCACCCCTACCAATCCTTTTTATTAAACAATTCCACATATATGCTTACTGCTACTAATATTACTATTCTCGTTCTTATAGTTCCTCTTCCTTCACTCTTCCTCTTGGGAATCTGGACTACCATAATGGAGAAGTATAAGCAGCCCTGGTATATATTGTCCTAATCACTCTACAGTTCTCAATATATTCTGCATTAGTATTTCATAGTGCACTGCGTACAAAGGTCTCTGAGTAGCAGGCATGCTAGAAATGTTTTTGACAATAAAAATCTGAGAAAATAATACCTGAAACGAAGACAGAATTATTTTGCAAGTAACTTTGTAGTTTCAATTTTTAATTAGGCAAAGCATTAAAAAAAATAAATAAAATTGAGTCATATTCTCCACTGAGGGCAACTGAAAAGTCAGGGGGGAAAAGGACAAATGTTTTTTTAATCTTCTTCTTCTTCTTTTTTTAAAAATGTTATTCATTTATTTCAGAGAGAGACAGAGGGAGGAAGGAGCAGGGGAGGGGCAGAGGCAGAGGGAGAAGCAGACTCTTGCTGAGCAGGGAGTCCATCAAGTGGCTTGATCCCAGAACTCTAGGATCACGATCTGAGCTGAAGGCAGAGGCTTAACCAACTGAGCCACCTAGGCACCCTGAGAAATGTGTTTTTTTTAATATAAAAGGATTATTTCACATAGCTGACTTATGTTCTGTGTCTTTGATGCTACAAATTATGAGGTAGAATTCCTACTATGGGAGATAAGTTTTAGATTTTTTTAAAAGATTTTACTTATTTTATTAGAGAGAGCCCACACAAGCTGAGGAAAGAAGCAGGGGGAGAGGAGACTCCCCACTGAGGAGGGACTCTGACCAAGGGGGCTCGATTCCAGGACTCTGGGATCATGACCTGGGCCGAAGACAGATGTTTAACCCACTGAGTCATCCAGGTGCCCCTTATTTTTAAATGTTTTACAAACAAACTTTGTGGAATAGTTGTATTAACTATTAATTAAAGAAAATAGCAGTAGTATGACTGGAAAATCAACAAATATTTTATTGTTGTGGGGAGGGTTAATATACTTCATATAAAATTTAAATGTGCCTGGATAATGTGAAAAGGACATTTCTAAAACTGATATGGAAATAAATATACAATAAAATGCACAGACCTTAAGTGTACAGCTTGATGATTTTTTTAGGACATTTTTAGGGAAAAATCCTTCCATGGTTATCTTGTCAGATTTATGAATGTTCACCCACAAGGTCAAAAAACACCTGTCTATACCACAATGACTATATTTAAAAAAAAAAAATTCTCAAATGCTGTAACTCAAAATATGATTTAAATTTTTAGTAGTCCTTTTAGTTTAAATAAAAGGATAAAAATATTTGATATTCACCTGACCCTCTGGCAAGTAAGTCCATAGGCTGGAAAAGAAGTTATGGACATGTTTTGGGTTATCTTGTTATTCAAAGAACAAAAGATAATGAAATAGTAATTTATCAGTTTTTTGGAGCTGTCAGAATAAAAAGACATTTGGTACATTTTATATATGCAAATAGGTACTTTCAATTCTGACTTCCGCTTTGGTGCAGGACTTTTAATAAAAGAAAAATTATTATATTTTATCAAACATCAATGCATAAAAACTGCACGAAAGTAACAAAATGGAAAGAGCACTGGGAAGAAATCAAGGCTATCTAAGAATAAACTAGGTCATTTCGGCTGGCTTTGGTTGCCAAGCAACTGGGATTTCTCACAGTTTCCCTTTAGAATAATCCAGTCTTTAAGAGTTTTATTTAATTGTTTATTTCTTCCTCAAGACTTATACTAACATATTTAGGAATCAAACTAATAAGAAAACTTCCATGACTTATATGAAGGAAATTTAAAAACTCTAATGAAAGACAGGAGACAAATATAACTTCCTCCTCCAAACGATGAGAGAGTAATATAAATATGTAAATTATCTTCAAATTAATCTGTAAAATCAACCCAAATCCAATTGGGGGGGGTAGGAGTTACCAAAATAATTCTATTCTATCTGAAGAAATAAATAAAATATAGTAACTAGTTGGGGGTGCCTGAGTGGTTCAGTCAGTTAAACGTCTAACTCTTGATCTCTGCTCAGGTCTTGATCTCAGGGTTCTAAGTTCAAGACCTGCATGGGGCTCCATGCTAGGTATGCAGCCTACTTAAAAAAAAGAAGAATGAATGAATATTTTTTTCTTAAGATTTTATTTATTTATTTGACAGACAGAGATCACAAGCAGGCAGAGAAGCAGGCGGGGATGGGGGAGCAGACTCCCTGCTGAGCAGAGAGCCTGATACGGGGCTCGATCCCAGGACCCTGAGATCATGACCCGAGCCTAAGGCAGAGGATTTAACCCACTGAGCCACCTTCAGGTGCCCTGAATGAATAATATTTTTTAAAAGATTTTATTTATTTACTTGACAGAGAGACAGTGAGAGAGGGAACACAAGCAGGGGGAGTGGGAGAGGGAGAAGCAGGCTTCCCGCTGAGCAGGGAGCCCGATGCAGGGCTCCATACCAGGACCCTGGGATCATGACCTGAGCCAAAGGCAGACACTTAACCAACTGAGCCACCCAGGTGTCCCAATTTTTAAAATACAGTAAATATCTAATGGCTGAAAAGAGCCAGCCCTATTCAATAATATATCAATACTGGAGAGGTCATTAGCTCTAGGAACATGGAAAAAGGAATGGAGCAGAGTGGAATCCAAAAGGTAGTCCGGATTAGACACTGAGTAATGAAGTAATGTGGGCAAATGAGCAGCCCACACAAGAGAGTTTATCAGGGCCATGCAAGCAGAATGTGTATGCATGTCTAGAAAAGCATATATATATATATGTATATTGTAAGTAGGGGAAAGCAAGTGTGTGGAAAACTAGAACTTGACAAAGGACAAGTTTCACATGAGTGGATAATAATAAATGGGTTATTAAAAAAAAATAGTAAGGGAGAAACTGGTCACTGGGAGTTAAGAAGAAAAAAAAAAAGACCAAAACCTATACCCTCACTCCCCAACTCCAAATATTTCTAATAAAATAAAACTTTAAACATTAAAGTAAAAACAGCTAAAACATAAAAGTATGAGAATAGGTTAAAAAAAGTTTTTAAATGTTGCTACACTAGGTCTTTATGAGCATGGTATCAAAATCAGAAACCATAATATAATCTTAAAGAGATTTGATTATTGCATAAAAATATTTTAAAAACTGTATTAGCAGGGACTCTTGGGTGAATCGGTTGAGAGTCTGCCTTCAGCTCAGGTCATGATCCTGGGGTCCCAGGAACAAGCCCCGAGCTGGGCTCTCTGCTCAGCAAGGAGTCTGCTTCTGCCTCTCTCTCTGGCTTATACTCTCTCCCTCCTTCTCTATCTCTGTCAAATAAATAAATAAAGTTTTTTTTTTTTTTAAAAACTGTATTAGCAGACAAAACTCAGAACCAGAAAGTAGAATGGGGGCGCCCAGGTGGCGCAGTGGGTTAAAGCCTCTGCCTTCGGCTCAGATCATGATCGCAGGGTCCTGGGATCAAGCCCCGCATCAGGCTCTCTGCTCAGCAGAGAGTCTGCTTCCCTTCCTCGCTCTCTGCCTGCCTCTCTAATTGTGATCTCGGTCTGTCAAATAAATAAAATCTTTAAAAAAAAAAAAAAAAAAGAAAGAAAGAAAGTAGAATGGCTGCCAGAGGCTAGAGGAGTGGGGGAATGAGGAATTAGTATTTAGGGTACAGAGTTTCAGTCTGGGAAGATGAAAGAATCTGGAGAAGATGGTGGTGATGGGTTACACAATGTGAATGTACCAAATGCTCTGAACTTGTTAAATCGTTAAATAAATCATTAAAAATTGTAAATTTTATGTTATATATATTTTACCAGGAAAAAACTGCATTAATAGAAATCACTATAAATTATCAAATAAATACTAAGTAAACAGTAAGACGTCATTTCTCACATAGCGTATTAACAAAGACAAGAAAACTGCTTGCTCACACATTATCAGCTGCCCCGTAAGTAAAATATATTCTTTTAAAAAAGCAATCCATAAGGCCACATATGTAAACTAATAAGAAAATTTTGCAAGTGGGCTAAGATATGTAAGAATGTTGCTATAGTGGGTTTTTTTTGTTGTTTTTTTTTTTAAGATTTTATTTATTTGACAGAGAGAGATCACAAGTAGACAGAGAGGCAGGCAGAGAGAGAGAGAGAGAGAGAGGGAAGCAGGCTCCCCGCTGAACAGAGAGCCCGATGCGGAACTCGATCCCAGGACCCTGAGATCATGACCTGAGCCAAAGGCAGCGGCTTAACCCACTGAGCCACCCAGGCACCCCTATAGTGTTTTTTGTAAAAGCAAAAAACTGGAAACAATTTCAATTTCTATTAACAAGATACTGATAGATTGTAGCAATCTTATAGAAGAGAGTATTAAGCATTCATTTAAAAATCATGAAGTAATTCTACCCTTGTTGTCATGAAACAACATCCATGACATATTACATAGAAAAAAATACCTTTCAAAACATTAGGATTCCAATGATATAAAATTATATACACAGATAATTATACACCTGAATAGAGAAGGGGTTCACACCAAACTGTTAGCAAAATGTTACCTAATTAGCTCTCTCTGGATAACTGGATTGTTTTCAATGCTGTTATTGTTATTTTTTTACTTTTCTAGATTGTTTCAATGTTTTACCATGAGAATGTATGCAATTAAGAATTTATAAGTCAGTTTTTCATTTTAAAAAGTCTAATACGTAAAAAATGTAAAGCTGACATCTCAAATACTAAGTTTATATAGGTTATTATATATTGTTAATAGCTCTTAGAACAACTTAAGGATTATGCACAGGAAAAGTTATCATTTTAAGAATGTGGAAAACTATAATTTAAATTCAAAGAGCTGGTGGAGTTCTTTTGCCTAGAGTAAGAATATAGGGGCCAAACTTGCTCTTAACATAATAAAAAACCTCTTTCCTGCTTTGTGGATCAATTTTTCTACCCTTGAATAACTTCAAATTACTATTTTAGCTACTACATATCAACCTGGAGAAACACAGAAAAAGTCAACACGAACTATATCAAAAACTGAAAAATGAGGTTAGAGATGTTGATATTCTACAATCCACGTTTATCTAGGAGTGTCAAAATATATTTAATGAATGTTTCTATATAAATTCTTATTAACATTTTAAATGTTAAATTCCGTTACTTAACATCACTACAGAAGTTTCACTCAAATTCTTACTGCCTCTGTTATGAGTCTGTATATTCTGTGAAAAGTTCTTTTTAGATCTGAAATTTTAAGAGATAGAAATATAAGTTTTTCTTTTACTCATAAAAAGTTTCAAGGGAAAACTAATACGATTCCTAATATCAGAACTTCAAACCTATTTCTAAGTAGTACTACTTAAGCCTTCAGGTAGGAATTTACACACACAATCTTTACTAATAAAGCATCCTAACATGAAGGAAATCACAAGATTTTTTTTTCCCCTCTAAAAAACAGAAAATTAATTCTATGTTATTATACCATGAGTTCTTGTAACTAATTTTTAAAATGCCTTTAATACTTACAGCTTGATTAGGTAGATTGTCAGTCTTAAGTTCTCTGTGATTGGAATACTGAATAAAAACAGGCTGGCTTCGAAGGTGAGGAGTAACAGGAGTGTAATAATTCACCATAGTAACCGCAGCTTCCTCAGAAGCCATTTCTAAGAAAGCCTGCAATAAACACAAGAAAGCAAAGTGAAAGCTCATGTTTTTGAAAGACAGCTAAGAACTATGAAAAGACTTTTGCTTCAAAGTGTATCACTGATGTTAACTGAAAACACATTTGAAAAGTTGGGTTCAATAAAGGATTTGGGACTGGGAAATTGCCAGTTGAATAAATGATTTCATGTGGTTTTTGGTTTTTCTCTTTTTTCCTTTTCTCTAAAATCTAGAAATAATTAAGAAGGCAAAAATAAAGGTGAGCATTAGCACACCTGATGCTTTCGGGGGGTTGGGATTTAATCATTCATTCCCAAAGAAAAACTTCCCAAAGATGGGGGGAACATAATGATTTGCTCTCCTTTACCTTTTACTAAACAACTCTTTATGATACAATTAAGTTTATTATGCAATTAAAAAGAGCATGCGGGTGCAAAGGCTCAATTGTTCAAATCAGGGAAATGGGGGAACTTTCTGCATTAAGTCAATATTGACTTGAGTCATTCAAGTCACTTTTTTTTTTTTTAGATTTTTTATTTATTTATTTGACAGACAGAGATCACAAGTAGGCAGAGAGGCAGGCAGAGAGAGAGAGGAGGAAGAAGGCTCCCTGCTGAGCAGAGAGCCCAATGTGGGGCTCGATCCCATGACCCTGAGATCATGACCTGAGCTGAAGGCAGAGGCCTTAACCCACTGAGCCACCCAGGTGCCCCTCAAGTCACTTTTTTTAAGATCTGTATTATAAAATAGAGAGGGATGCTTGGGTGGCTCAGTTGGTTAAGAATCTGCTTTCTGCTCAGGTCACAATCCCAGGGTCCTAAAATCTAGTTCCACATCAGGCTCCCTGCTTGGCAGCAAGCCTGCTTCTCCCTCTGCCTGCTGCTACCCTGTTTGTACGTGCTTGCGCTCCCTCCCCCTATCTCTGACAAATAAATAATCCTTAAAAAAAAAAAAAAGAAAAAGAAAGAAATAAAAGAAACATCAACGCCCAAAATATAATCACCTGTATTAAGCCTAAGTTACCAACCAAGATTTAATACCTAACAATTATAGTTTCAACCTCTCCCAAGAGTGGAATCTTAAACCAGTCCATCTGGAATTACCTGGTCAGCAATAGTGAGGTTATCTGCCTGACAGACCCCCCCCACCATCCCTAAAGGAAGGCGAACTTGCCTGACACAATTCACTCTGCTAGTAACTTCCTTATCTCACCCTATTCTGCCTACAAAAGTTTTTCATTTTGCACTGCTCTTCACAGGTCCTTTCCATCTGCTAGACGGGATGCTGCCCAATTCATGAATTGCTGAATAAAGGCCAATAAAATCTTCAAAATTTACTCAACTGAATTTCATCTTTTAGTATCTGTATCTGTAATCATTGTACTCATATCAGATATTTGAAAAAGAATATAGGAAGAGCTGAGATGGAAGAAGATCTTTGGGACTTACATCTTATTCTCTATATGGCTTCTTCTGGCTGTCGCCACCCTATCTTAATGGTTTGTTAGGAAGACGAAATAGTAACCATTCTGACTCCTAGGAACTACCTATAAGAACATCTCAAATTTAGGGGCACCTGGGTGGCTCAGTTGGTTAAGTGACTGCCTTTAGCTCAGGTCATGATCCTGGAGTTCCAGGATTGAGCCCCACATTGGGCCCCCTGCTCAGCAGGGAGTCTACTTCTTCCTCTGATCCTCCTCCCTCTCCTGCTCTCTCTCTCTCAAATAAATAAAAATAAAATCTTAAAAAAAAAAAAGAACATCTCACATTGTTCATGCAGGAACATGCAGGAAGAACCCCTGATTGAATCAATGCAAATTTCTAGTTAGACAATTCAATTCTTTTTCACTACAACAGAGTATGTAATTAGCAAGTGTACAGTAACCACTTCAAATTATGCATAAAATATTTCATTTATAAAAATATGTATTTATTAAGAACAAAATTTACTTAACACAGATAATGGCAAATATCTATAAAACAAACTACTTATTTGTTTATAGTTATATTACTTGCTAAATGTTTCTATTTGGCAAATATTCCAGTAAAGGAATATTAACTTGACAAATATTAAATGTGATGCTTAACCGTATCACTCAAATGTCACAAGTGAACCAATTAAATGTTTTAACTAACAATATTCTATGAAGTAGTAATGTTAGCCATGTGGTAGATCAAATATCATTAATCAATCCAAAATAGATAAAACTCCACCATCTTCAAGGAATAAATGTCCACACTGCAATTTAAAACCACTATCCAACTGTATCAGTAATATACTTACTAGTTTGTCTACGAGGTTAAAAATGATCAAGGTAATCAAAATAGCTAAATAATACTTCCTATCTGGTTTTTAATCATCTTTTCAACAAAGAATTTATAAATTGTTTGCTAATAATATTCACTCTACGGGGGAACAGTATCTTTCTGAAAACTCCTTCATAAATGCAAAGAACTAAACTCAATGTCTAACAGTCACACAAAAGAAAAGCTAAACATCTTTGGAATACATGATTCTTGTGATAGAAAATTTTTCCTGAAAGTATATACAACCTAAAAATTCATACACAAAAATAACTTTTTCCACATGGAGCCGAATAAAGGAATTATTTAGGTTTTCTCAAAGTATGCAGAGAAATCCATTTTCATAATAAGGAGTGGAGAAAAAATCAAGTCACTACCCACAGAAAGGCTGGTACAGATATCCCCCAGGCTGCCCTCAACACTTTACCTCTAAGTACCAAAGGATAGACTATACCTAGTCCTAACAGCTAGGTAGTCCTAGTAGTTCTAATGGCTAACATGACATTCTCTCACTAAAGTATATTACTAACAAAATATTTTCAAAACAGGATTTATGATCCAAAGACAAGCACTTAACATAACAGTCAGTTAGCACTACAGATAAATAACAAACCCCAAACCAGTAGTAGAGACAAAGACAAAGTGTGATCTTGCCTGCTGCTCCTCGTAACAGTTTGAAAGAATGTACAGAATACACTCCATGAAACATGATAATATACATGAAACACATACATGATACATCTCACAGCCATTAGACTTGGCCACACTGGCTCTTCTAAAACTATGCAAACCATATTATTCTCAACAGTGGCAACTGAGTTAAAATAAAGATCCAAGTGCATGTACGATCTCCAAAAGATGTAAGACAGAAGTGTAAACACAACAGAAGTTAAATACTAAGACATGTTATTTAACCTCTCAGATTTAAATAATTACATCTGAACTAAATGGGAATGTTTACTTCGTTTACTAAAGGGCCAGAATCAGACATCTTCCAATCTCTTTCATAACCAACACATATCAATCTATTTATAAATCTGTTTATGTTTCTTAAACTTATTTATGAAAATTCTAAGAAATAGGGACTTATCACAATGTATTACACAATGTCTGGGGCCTAAATTTGTTGTCTTCTTACAGCAATGCTCAGCATAAAAGATTTTCAGGACAACCAAAAACTGGAAAAGAACTAAAGAATTCACCCTAGTGGGGTCTAAGCTGGAACAAGAAAGTAGATGATTGTTCAAATTAACATAAAAAGTGTTATATTTTTGTCCTGGTCAGCACAAAAGCAAGTTTCCTTATTCATCTTAAGAAAAACCTATTAGGGGCGCCTGGGTGGCTCAGTGGGTTAAAGCCTCTGCCTTCGGCTCAGGTCATGATCCCAGGGTCCTGGGATTGAGCCCCACATCGGGCTCTCTGCTCAGCAGGGAGCCTGCTTCCTCCTTTCTCTCTCTTTGCCTGCCTCTCTGCCTACTTGTGATCTCTGTCTGTCAAATAAATAAATAAAATCTTAAAAAAAAAAAAAAAAAGAAAAACCTATTAACTTCTGAAATGAAAAAATTGTAACAGTCTCTTCTGAATTATTAAAGAAGATATATATTTAATTCTACAATTAAAATATACTACACATTTCTATAAAGATTTTAGAAAACTTAAATGTTCTTTAATTGCCAAATAAGGTATAATTTATATCCCCTCTCTCTGTGTCTTGGTCTTCTGATAATCAAAGGGTTTTTTCATAAACTATTCTGTAATTAAGAATATAAAAGGTTTTTTGTTAAGGAAGAAAAGGCCAAGTCACTGATTAAAAAATAATTCTATGTCCTGTGTTAATATTTTTGTTTGTTGCTTCCTGTCACACATAAAAAAAATTCTATCTAAAGAACTAAAAAACTATCTAAAGAAAATGAAATCCAGAAAACATAGAAAAGTTCAAGAAAATAAAAGTCATCTTTAGCACTAATACCCAGAGATAATCACTGTGGTTCAGTCTTTAAATATTACATACCTGGCTTTTTCCTTTCAACATCAAAAGATTAGTAACTTTGCCAAATGGTAGACCTAATGATATGACCTCTGCTTCGGTGACATCACTTGGAATTTTGCGAAGATGGAGAACACGGGAAGGCGAACAGGGAGGTCTATCTCCTTTAAATTTCTTGTTGTCATTCCCATTAGCTAAAAAAATATAAGATTTTTTGAAATTACTGAAACTAATTTAAGTTGACATACTACATTAACCCTATTGTCATGTTTCATCCTTCCAACAGTTCTAGTTTTTGAAATTCAGGACACTATGGATCTAATCAGGGAAGAGAAGGATAATGGAAAACAAACCATCCACCTTCAATGAATGAATGGGTGTTTTTGGTTTTTCACTGCAAGTATTAAATTAGTTAAAAATTCAATTCTGATTTTTAACTTCAAGGAAAAGCACTAAATAAATTACATATTTATACCTCTAAATAGACAACTATTTGTTGTGAGTAGAGAACAATTTTATAATGTCTCTAATGTATTTTTAAAGATATTTTTCTAATTTGTTCTAGTGCTAAATAAATAAGAACAATAACTTTTAATAAAGATTGTAAAAGAAATTTTATATTTACCACATCCTGAGGGGATTTGAACTGTATCATTATGAAAATTAAGTTTACTTCTTAGGCATTATTATTTTTTACTGATCTTTTTATGAAGTATTTTTTAGAAGCTAAATTGTTGTTTCCTAACATAATCTTATTCCTTATTATGTAACAGTAGATCTTAACATAAGCATCATCTTGTTAGAAATGCAAATTTTCAGCCCTACCCCAGACCTACTGAATCAGAACCTAGGGCTAGGACCCAGTAACCTATGTTTTAACAAGCCCTCCACATGATTTTGGTGCAATCTAAAGTTTGAGAACCACTGCTATACAATAAACAAATCCACTAGCCGAGTTTACAGCTAAATTTTATTTAAATCCTTTTAACATTGACAATAACTAGAACTGACAAGCCTATAATGAATACTCAAATTTATGTACGTAAGATTCAGAAATGTTTTTCCCCAAAAATAGCACCATGTATGACTGAATGAATGCAAATTATCTGAAAGCCCTAAGTTTCATTATAGTGTTTTTTTAAATTAACATATATTATTTGTTTCTGAGGTACAGGTCTGTGATTCATCAGTCTTACACAATTCACAGCACTCACCATAGCACATACCCTCCCCAATGTCCATCACCCAGCCACCCCATTCCTCTCACCCCCCTACAGTGGGGTTGTTTTTTTTTTTTTAATGCTAAGTAGTACCATACTTAACACTATTAGGAGGAAAATACAATCTTCCCAAATGCCTAAAACTGTCATTTTTCCAAACATTAATGGAACTCTGCAAACAAAGAACATGAAGATCATATAAAAACTACATGGCAATATTCTGTAACCATATCTGTGGCACAGAACTCACTTGCTTACAAGTGGGTAGGTTGACTTAATAACCCAAACGAGGACTCACTCCCAAATTTTCTGTTCATGAATGCAGGCAGCATCCTACCCAGACCCCAAAGACTACTAATTTCTATAGGTCCTTACTGGCTGTGCCTGTATATAGCAAATGCCTAGCAAGACCGTTAAATAACAGGCAAATATTTATTGTAAATTAACCTGGGAGGGAAGAAATTCTTTTCCCACCTCATAAGTACCCAGAAATATTGATTTTCCCCTTCAAAATGACTGTTTACATTTTTCATGTCCACTCTCGATGTCACTAAGTTCACCTATGATCTTCCCCCTTCCACTCTGCCTTCCTCTACTCACTCTCCCTCTAGCCCCACTCAGCTCCAACTTACCAACCAAAATAAAATAGTCTATCACATCATTATCTCGCCTTAAACACCCTGATGGGCTTCCAACCACCTAAAATGTCCCTTTGTTTCTAGTTTTCACACTGTTTTCACTTATACTGCCTCATTTGAGTTGACAAAAATATACATGAGATAAATCTTACTAATTTTAACAGATGAAGAGACAGAGGTTCAGAAAATAAGTGATTTTTGTACACGGCTAGCAAGTGTAAAAAGTGTCATTCAAACTAAAGTTTATTTTTTTAGCACAAAAATCTCATGATGTCTTACCATTCCTAGAAAAAAACAAGCAACTTGACACTAACATAAAGTTTCAAAGTACGTGCAGACTTAAGTGGATTATAATGATAACACTGTCACTAAATTAGAACACTGTAATTCATGCTCTAGATAGGAGTGAAAGCTGGGCACAGGGTGTGCCCTTTTGAACTCTCCTGGTAGCCCTAGATGGTGAGACAATAGTACCACAATCTTGTGCTTTCTTAACCAGCACAAGGTGTTAAGACTGGAAAAACACCCTAAAAGCAAGAGGATTTTATCAGTTTACCCAGAATATTCTAAAACAAATCAAAAGAACATTTAGAAGGTTGTTTCTTTAACAGAGGTTTTAATCATTACCTGTGTGAATAAAAACAACTATACATGCTATTTGAGCTCACGTTAGACTATCAAATAAAGAACTATGGTAACAAATTTTTATCAAGAAATATGCAATTAGGGGCGCCTAGGTGGCTCAGTGGGTTAAGTGTCTGCCTTTGGCTCAGGTCATGATCCCAAGGTCCTGGGATTGAACCCTGAATGGGGCTCCTTGCTCAACGGGGAGTCTGCTTCTCCCTCCCCCCCACCCTCGCTTGTCCTCTCTCTCTCTCTCTCAAATAAATAAGATCTTAAAAAAAAAAATACAATTATAGAAACCCACCATTTTAGTTTAATTGTTCTGAATTATAAAAGTGCCTGAGCTATGTTAAGAGCGTGGGCTATTAAATCAGACTACCTGTTCTAACCAAGTTACCTGACATAATTGAGCCTCAAAATCTTTTCCAATAAAATGAGTATAATAGGGGTACCTGGGTAGTTCAGTTGTTAAGCATCAGGTCATGATACCAGGGTCCTGGGATCGAGCCCCGCATCAGGCTCCCTGCTCTGTGAGAAGCCTACCTCTCCCTCTCTCACTACCCCTGCTTGTGTTCCTTTCCTCACTGTGTCTCTCTCTATCCAATAAATAAAGAAAATCTGGGGCGCCTGGGTAGCTCGGTGGGTTGAAGCCCCTGCCTTCGGCTCAGGTCATGATCCCAGAGTCCTGAGATCGAGCCCTCCGTCGGGCTCTCTGCTCAGTGGGGAGCCTGCTTTCTCCTCTCTCTCTCTGCCTGCCTCTCTGCTTACTTGTGATCTCTGTCAAATAAATAAATAAAATTAAAAAAAAAAAAGAAAATATATATATATATATATGTATATATGTATATATATATATATATGTATATATACATATATACATATATATATATATATTTTTTTTTTTTTTTAAGATTCCATTTACTTATTCGACAGAGAGAGAGAGAACAAGTAGGCAGAGAGACAGGTGAGGGGTGGGGGGAAGCAGGTTCTCCACTGAGCAGAGAGCCCGACACGTGGGGCTTGATCCCAGGACCCTGAGACCATGACCCGGGCTGAAGGCACCCAGGTCTGAGTGAGCCACCCAGGTGCCCCAAGAAAATCTTTTTAAAAAAATGAGTATAATTACAGAGGTATTTTGAAAATTAAATTAGGTAACATATTTAAATACTAGATGTAGGTACACCTGGGTGGCTCAGTCAGTTAAGAGTCTACCTTCAGCTCAGGTCATGATGCCAGGGTCCTGGGATCAAGCCCCCCATCAGGCTACCTGCTCAGCAGGGAGTCTTCTTTTTTCCTCTCCTCCTGCCCCCCCACCCCCTGCTCTTGCTCACACTCTTGATTGAACTCTGGCTCTAAAATAAATAAAAAATTTCTAAATACTAGGTATAACGCCTAGCACATAATAATCAATAATATGTCTTGATTTTCTTAGGAAGGACTGTGTTACCTGAAAGTGATGTTCTTTCCACTTCTTTGGTATTAAAATGATGACTGTAGGTGACAGTGACTTTTTTTCTCTTGATGTGCTTACTTAGCAAAATTTAAGACATTGCTCAAAATTAACTAAAAAATTTTATTATTCTATGAAATCTAAAAATCTAAGAATTACTCATCTAGATGGCCCCAGAAAAGGTTATAGCCACTGAAAAATGGAAAATATATAACCAATCACATGGGCATAATTTACTAAAAGTCAACAGGAAACAAGGAAATTATAGTGCATTAAATACATAACTTTGAAGAACTACTCTCTGTACAAAATACATTAGAGACTTTCCAAAATTTTTATTATGAAAATCAGCATTCAAAATACTTAGCTTGTAAAAACCCTGCATCTTATTGAACAATATATTGAAAACTACTGAATGCCTGCTACATATTAGTCAGGTTCCAAAAAAATAAATAGAAGAGACTTCTAAAAATTCATACATTCCCATCTCGAAACTGAAGAAATCCACCAGGAAAACTATCCTACAAATATGGATCTTTTTAAAAATGCAACTTTATTAGGTTATACTTTAGAGATAATAAAATCCACCTACATTTTAAATGCAATTTGTCGAATACTGCAAAAATCAAGATATAGAACCTTTCCACCATCTCCGAAAGTTCCCCGGTGCTCCTTTGTAGTCAGTCCTCCCTCCAAAACCCCCACCTCTCAAACTAAACATATACCATATACTACCACCATACTATCTTGATTACGATAACTTTAGAGCAATTCTTTTTAAACAAAATTTTTTTTTCTAAGTAATCTTTATACCCAATGTGGAGCTTGAACTCATAACCTTGAGATCAAAAGTCCCATGCTCTTCCAACCAAGCCAGCCAGGAGCCCCTTAATAGCCATTCTCGAAATCAGGTACTTATCTGGGAAAGAATTCACGTAACAGTTTTAAGTCATCCAAAACATATATATCATGATTTCTCTCTGCATTTATTGAGGCCCCTTTAATTTCCCTTAACAACATTCTGTGGTTTTCAGTGTAATAGTGTCTTGCATACATTGCTTAACCTATATCCTACAACGTTAGTAATTTTTTTTTCAAAGATTTTTTTTTTTTTTTAATTTGACAGAGAGAGATCACAAATAGGCAGAGAGGCAGGCAAAGAGAGAGAGGGGGAAGCAGGCTCCCTGCTGAGCAGAGAGCCCGATGCGGGGCTCGATCCCAGGACCCTGAGATCATGACCTGAGCCGAAGGCAGAGGCTTAA